TTTTTTTTTTTTTTTTTTTTTTTTTTTTCCAGTTTTAAGAGTTGTGAAGTATGTTTTAAACCAGTTTATTTTTGCTGTTGTACAGCTCCTTTAACCATAAACAGTTTTCACTTCATGGCTTTCTCTGCTTGTTTGTTCCCTTCCCTGTTCCCCAAGTTAGTCTACTGAATGGCTGTACAAAAATCAGATATAATTCAACTTTTCTTAATATTCAAAGTAAGATACGTTTTAAAACAAATATTTTTAACGATGCAAAGTCAAAGTTGTTTCAGTTGTGATGAAAGTCTGTCTGCACACCGGAAACTGGGACTATTTCGTGTTTGGAAAAAGGTTTCGACAAAAACAGGTGTTTAAAGTCAGACTTACCGCCTATTTTAGAGCTTCCTCCATCCAGACTCGCTGTTTATTAAAACCGTGACTCAATCTGCCATCAGAGGAAACAGAAAGTACTGTATTACTTTCTAAAGGTGCTCGACGATGTGTACCGCACAAGCTTTCTGAATCATTCTCACACTTCTCAGCTGGACCTGAACCGCAGGTAACCGTGCTGCCTCCACGTGCCTCCCACAATAATCGGAAAAAACAAGAACACCTCACAAGGGTCGACTGGGAGAGAGCATAGAAAGAGTGTTCTCAAACCCGGTAAATTTTGAGTGAACATATATAAAATATGATTAAGTAACACTAGAGTAAAAAAACAAATTAAATGAAGCTATTTTCATGAACTAAAACAAAGCATAGGCACGAACAAACAAACATAAAATTAAGGAAAAATAAGAAAACAAAATTTATTTAGTATCTTACATTAAGAAACTTAAACATTTATTCTTATTATTATTGTTATTATTATTGAAACAAAGCTGCAAAAAACCTAAGCTCAACGTTGTTTAATTTTGCCCTCTAGTGGTCATTTTATGTAACTGCAAAAAGACGTTTACCTGACAACAAAACACGTTGTTTAAATCTGGTTATATATTTTTTTTTAAATAAAAAAAAATCAGATATCATAACTTATTAACGGATCTCTATTAATTTATTCAGAGTCAGAGATTCTTTATTGTCATTCGCACCTCATGTGGTACATGTGGTGGAGCGAAATTATGTACACAGGGTCCCAGTTACATCCAACAATAAAATGTATAAGAAAAACAGTAATAACATCTAAGATATGAACTAAGAAAAACATCAACTAAATATACACTAAGCACTTATAACATAAAACATTGAACATCAGCACAAACACTGTGTGAGCGGATGTGCACGCATGAACACATCAACATTGAAACAGATCAGCAGCAAGATGATGTGATTTTCACAGTGATTATTCTGGTTAGAGATTCATGAGTCTAACAGCCTCAGGGTAGAAGCTGTTCCTCAGTCTAGTGGTTCTACACTTAATGCTTCTCAACCTCCTTCCTGAGGGGAGTGGGGCAAAAAGTGTGTGTGCTGGGTGAGTGTGGTCCTTCATGATGCAGCCTTCACCACTCTCTGCAAAGCTTTTCTTTCTGCAGCTGTGCAGCCTCCATGCCACACGTTGATGCTGGAGCACAGAATGCTCTCCACTGCACACCTGTAGAAGGAGGTGAGGACTGAGCTTCCCAGACCAGTTCGTCTCAGCCGTCTGAGGAAGTAGAGTCTCTGATGAGCTTTCTTGATCAGTCTGGTGATGCTCCAGCTGAGGTTGTCATTCATGTATACACCCAAGTACTTGTAGCTGGAGACTACTTCCATCAAATATAGTCATGTTACTTATAACAATGGTCATACACAACAACCTTTTTCTTGCATGATATAAAAACAAAAAGGCTAATTTTGCGCACGTATAATTTGTTTTCATTCTAATTAGGTAGTACAAAAACATTATTTTAGTTTAAAATGTTTTTTTTTCTGTTAAACAGCTGAGGCTCATTGTATATGCAGTACATGACTATAACCGCAAGAGGGCGACAAATATTTATATTGACCATGAACTCGCTTCCGTCATTGTTCAACGCATATGGTTCAACGTTATTTGTCAGAAAATATTCGAATATTCTAATGAACTGGTGGTAAAACACGACAAATTGATGCTGTAAATACACTAATAAATAATTCCACATTAAGCAAATTTATGAAAAGTTGGTTTCACATGATGTAATAATAACTGTAACAAGATAGGACAACGTTGCACGTTCATTTTTTTTATTTTTTTTTTTACCGGAAGTGCATTAACATTTGAATATTGTAATTCCTCATATGACCACAAGAGGGCAGTAAACATACATATTCTGGGGGCCGTGTAAAATGTAATTAAATACATGTACATACAGTTACTTTAAGGTTTGTATGAAATCTGATTTAAAAATAATAATCATTTCAGTTTTATGTGTTTTTCCAGACAAAAACAAAAATGTCTTAATTGTGTGGACCTAATGTAATCACATTTTAATTTTAGGTTTGTTTTATAAAACGAATTGACTGCAGTAGCTATATACAACGACCAAAAAAGGACGCAAAACATAAATGTTGGACAAACTGCAGTCACGTGATGTTTAGTGCTAGAAATTTTAATTGAACTGGAATAAAAACGGCAAGCAGCCACTGAGTTCACTTCATGTATTAACCAAATGCCAGACAGCGATTTACAATGACTTTAAATGTAAACCATAAGTGTTTTGTTATACTTGTGAAGGTTGGGGCTTTCCGATGTAGTTACTCAAAATGACCACAAGAGAGCAGCAAACACTCATAGCCCCGAGGAGCGCTCAAAATATTTTGTCCCGATGACCTGACTGAGCATTATTGGATTTGGTACCTGGATGATTGAGCATGAACTTTGTTGATTTGACAACAATGTCAACCTGGTTGATTTTATTGTACCGTTAAACACAATGCTTTTTAAAATTTGTAATTTAAAAAATACAAAACAAATAAATTGTAGCAAGTTTCTATATGCAGTAAGTAAAGCTGAATTTCTTGCCGTTTCTTTAACATTTTCTCAAATCAGGTTTTCTTTGACTATTCGTTATTAGTTACTTTTTTTAATGCTGTTGCACATGACTACACTCATAATTACCATGATTCCAATTCTCTACCGGGAGTGACTGAGCTTTCGGTATCTTCCTATCACTGTCAGGTTCGAATTCCAACTTGTACTGTAATCGATGCGGCTGATTGTTTATGCAGTTCATAACTGTGACCACAAGGGGGCGGAAGACAATCGTTTACGCTCGTGCTGCACGATTATCTTCCATAATAACTACGTTCCAAATGAACACACACACACACACACACACACACAAATGTGCCTTGAAGGATATTTACAGTAATTCTGGATTTTATTGTTTTTTTTCGCCAAACGTAAAGAAAAAAGCAGATTAATCAAATTTTGAATACAAGAGCCGCAGCCGCCTGATAGCTGCATATGTTGCAATTCACCACTGTGACCGTTAGAGTGAAGCAGTCACACATTTCAGGTTAAAGAAAAAAAAGTCGCAGAAAAACTGCGTCACGACATCCGGTTACCCTTTCAAAATAAGACAATTCAAAGACGCGTGCATTATTTTTTTGTCCATTTTAAAACAAAATATTTTAAACTAGCTAGCTATATTTTGTGACCTGTCTGGGGTTTACACCGCCTATCCGTGACCAAAACAAGGGTGTAAACAAAATGATGGATGGATGTATTATTCTTATTGATAAGTTATGACAATAAGTCTAAGATGTTAAGTTTCATTATTTTCTTCACAAATGTACTCAGCAATAACCAATTGCAATTATTAATTTTTAAATTGAAAAAAAAAAAAATCTACCTAAGTGCATGTATTGATGACCCAAAACAGTATGTCCATTTGGAATCCAGGTTGCAGCTCATTTTGTTACACCAGCACCATCCTTTATTCCAGCACCTTCCAACTATTAGGTGGATTGTCATCATATGGCAGACTGGTATCTGTAATAATGATCTAAGCAGTAAAGTGCAGCATTGCTTTTATGCCTGAAGATATTCTTGAACAAGAATGACCGATTCAAGATCTTACCTGCACAAAACAAACAAAAACCCCACACAACTTTATTAATGGTTTATTTTCTATAAAAGAGATGAGTTTATTCAATGATCATAACAGATTTAATCAGAGACCTCAAGCAACCACTTACATACCAAACAAAAACTGAGGAATTTTTTTTAACAAAACCCCCCAAACAGAAAAATGTAACACAATAAAATACCTGAATAACGCAAACTCTGGGCTGAGCTGAACATCAGCACATTCTCTGTAGAACTCATGGCACATTATGTCCAATATTTACTGTGAGAAAGAAAAGCTAAAAGGATGGAGTCTTTTCTTAACACTTTTGAACAGGTCTAATAACATTAGTGGACTTGATCAAAATGAAAAAAATAAGTTCTCCTGAATTACTGCTCATGTTTTAGTCTCCTCAACATGTTTTATCTACATCAGTGAACATGCCTGCCAGCACCACACCACTGAAAAACATACACAATCACACACCGCCTTTCAAATATACAGTCACACTCACAGACGAGACTTAAAACGCTAGTGTGGAAATGCTGAATCACATCTACCTAAAATTTGCTGTTAGAAGAAAATAAGTTGTCAGGTGTGTACACTTATAGAAGTCCAGCTAAAACTTAATTTAAAACCCGAGTATTAACAACGGGCAAAATATAAAATGTTGTCTTTTCTGTTTTGTACTTACTTTTTTCTTTAAAACACAAACTCTTGCTGAAGTCTTCCCCCTTTCTTCAAATATTAACCCCCACCCCCCACTCTTGTTGTGCCCCATCCTAAATTCCGTGTGTAATATAAGCCAACAAGAACTGCAATACAATACAGGCACTGGAGAGGAAAAAAAATACAGAGGAGTAGAGGACATGTTCAGATTTCAACCCATCTCCACTCGGACAAAGTCTCCAAAACAGAATTAGAACTCACATCCACTATTACTGAACAAGAACAAAGATATAAATTAAAACATATTTTCAGACTTTTTTGTTTTGATTTTTGTACGTTTTTTTTTTTTTCTTTAATTTTGCATCGTCAACAGTGTGCCTCATGAATTATACGATTCACTGCAAAAACTACCTGGGACCTCCACACGGTCCCATCGTTTTTTAATTTTTATTTGTACAGATCTGTTTCAAGTATCGGCTAGAGAAAGATGTTAAGTGTTTGCCCAGATCGTTAATTTTTAACCCCAAGCACTCTGCTTATTGTCATCAGATCAAACAAAACACACCTGAAAGGAACAGCAAGATCCAGTAGTGTGACGAGCCAATTATATAAACTTTCAACAGTATTTTTGAAGTATTACAAATAACGTCACAACACTCGAAGTGAAATCCGACTACAGCTTAAAAACAGCTGGTACGTTCTCTCGTCTTGTAGCAATTTTGCTGTGGTTTAAAATAACAAACACAAGGAAAGATACAAACTGATTCTGTCTTGGATAAATACTCATTGCAGTTTTGATAATGCATATTTTCATTTTTTTGCCCTACTTCTCTGTCTTAGAAGAAGTAATTTAGCACAAAAGATGTGTGGTTCGGCGTGGGTGTTGGGAGTGTGTTGGTGTGAAGATTCAGAGCGAAGGAGAAAGATCCAAAATAAACAGTTATTGTAGGATAAGAAAATACTTCTTTACAGTAGATACTAGATGATGGAAAAATTCTGCACGGCTTCTGGTCCTGTCTGAAAACATTAATGACGTTTCCAGGCCATAGAACATACTTGTCTGTTTAGGAAAAAAGATGTAAGGCAAACTGTACCTCCTCTGCTAAGAAATATACATGATTTACAGTGTGGAAGTTCCCCCCCAAATAATTAAAAAAATGTGTTCACTTACAATAAAATAAACAGAACATAAAAGACTTATTTCTTCACAATTTTTGACATCTGGCAGTTTCAAAATCCACCTGCACAGTCTGTCAGTATCAGAGCATCTTTCATCGTCACTGGGACTGGGACGTCGTTCCTCCTGCAGTTATTGCTGTGTCCGTGCACAGAGGGAGAATCAAGCATGACAAAGGCAACTGTGCCAGAAGAGGTCCTCTTTTTCTCGTTTTGGGAGGTCAAGCAAGCAACGCTAAAATCCAACAAGACTGACGTTCAAAACATTGAGACGACAACCAGAGTTCAGCCCGAGAGGCCGAGGCAAGCTGTGACCACAAGTCCAGCCTTCGTATCAAGTCTCAGTAGGGCTCGTGGATCAAGTCAAGTGTGGCCTTTTGTGGTACATTTTGCCAGAGGGAGCTCGTCCTCATTTCACTCACTTACTTTCTTCTTTTTGCTCTTTGTTCCAGTTGCTCATTTTCTCAAAAGCCTTCCTCGAAGATAGCCATTATGTCACTTTGAAAATTCATGTCAATAGTGGCTGCCATCTGTGGAGAGAAAAGAACAGCTCAGAATTTATTTTGCATTGATTACTCCTCTTAACTCCTAAAAGTATGGAAAATTCTCAAAACACCTACACTTTACTGTATATGCAAATCAAAATTTATAGTTGCTGTTTATAATTATGTTCTTTACCCCAAGGTGTGCATCTTTTACAGTTACTCCTCTGTTATCTAATTCTAAACATTTCAACTTCAGAGAGATAAGACCATCATCTCACCGCCTCCCTCCTCCTCCTCTCCTGCTCTTTTAGGCGTGCTATCTCTCTGTGTTGGTCGAGTGAGTTTTGTGTGGTGGGCTGAGGAGGAGTGGGGGGTTGAGGAGGCTGCTGAATGACGGCTGGCTGGGCTTCTGGATGCATCTGCGGTTGTTGTGGTTGGGAAGGGGCTTGGCCGTGCTGCTGCTCAAGACGTCCACGAGGCTCCTCGTGCACCCTTCTGGGAGGTTCAATGACATCCTCTTCATCCCGTCCTCTGGAAAACATTCAGAACAACAATGTATACTTTCTTCACAGACTGCTGCAGGGAGGATAAAATACATCCTGAAACATTCAACTTGTGTCATTGCTGAACATTTTCTATGACAAAAAGCAGTCGCACACTATTTTAAATGCCTGAAAACATCATGATTACAAAATGCAAGTTGTTCTGTTCAGTGGTGTTTACACTGAATACATTTTGTTTTTGTTGGCTGGTTTATTCATTCAGGTTTGTCTTAGACATACCGTATTTTTCGGCCTATAAGTCGCAGTTTTTTGCATAATTTATATGCCCTGCGACTTATCGGATGAAGCAACATATTTATGGATTTTTTCCCATATTTATAAACCAATTTTGGCTGAGATATGAACGTTTTCATTCATTCTGACAAAAAAAAAAGGTGAGCATTACCACTTTCAGCCACTTGATGGCAGCAGTGTAGTAATATCTTTATGGCATGCTGTTGTATCATGTAATAGGAAAACGTGGCTATAATGACAAATTCAAAAAAATTCAAGACAAAAACAACTGGACCTTATTTATTATACGTTACTTTATACTTTATTGTTTTTTCTTGAACTTTTTTGAATTTACCATGTCCTGGATGACTGAGAAACTTCACCAGCTATTACTGACTCAATCGGCCTGCCACAGACTCCTCACATTCATTCTGCTCGCTGCTTGGAACAGACAAAACAGCTGCGTCGCCCTGACAAAATGCAGCTAATTTGACCATTAAAGTGCATTTATTAAGGAATAGTTCAACTGAGACACACCTTTACTATAATTTCAAGCATACAAATAATTGTTTATAGGTGTGAATCTTGTTAAATTCTTGTTAAAGTCCTCATGTGCATGCTCCCGCGGCCACCATTTGGCAGCCAATCTATTTTTGGCACAACACCGGCCCACATTTCCGGGTTGTCAGCGGTGACACGTAGAAAACACGACCCATCAGCAGTGATGCATAACAGATGTGGTGTATATGGCGAAACGACATATTTAAAGATTTTTCCACTTTATTAGACAAATATGGACTGATGCGACTTATAGGGCGGAGCGACATGTATGGCAGAAAATACGGTAATACATATTTTTAATCCTCTTCCAAGCTTTCTCTTGATGTGCGTCTCACTCACTTTATTGTAGTTTATGTAAAGGTTGCTTTTTGTTAGAACGGTTCAAATCTACTTCAGTTTTACACATTTCATTTTTCTGAGAGCATTAGTGCTGAGCTCTGGCATGCAGGAAATTCAGAATATTTTATCATATCTGGATACACTGCTGATGGTGTGTTCAACATTTCTTCTCTGTGACTGGTGTAATCTGTTACTGTGGATACTTCAGGGAAACTTTAATCCTTGCAGGGTTTTCTGTTTTTATAGCAGTTTAAATAAAAATACTGTAATTTTAAATAATTGTAGGCTCAAACTATTCATCCATTGTCTCCTCACCAAAGAGCATCCTTTTATAACAGAAATGAACGCATCTAAAGGCACAAGTTGACTCAAACATTAACTTATAACTTTCATAACAGCTGATTAACCTTCAAGGCATAATTTATTTCTATAAGTCTAGTTCTAGTGTAGACTGCTGTATTAAAATTATATATTTTTTTTAATGTGCTGGACTTGCAACCTGTCCAAGGTGTACCCTGTCTCTCGTAGTGTGTCTTCTTGAAAATCTTACCGTGCTTTGTCCTGTTCTCTGCGCAGCCTGTCCTTTTCTGCCTGCTCGGCCTGCGCCTTTAGGGCCTTTTCCCTCTCCTCTTTCTCCCGAAGAGCACGGCGAAACTGCTCAAAACTATCGCTCGAGGATTTCGCCCCAGATAAAGGTGTAGATGTTGGCTTTTGTCCCAGGCTCGCCCATGAGCCCATAATCTTAAATTTTGCATCCTGAGGAAACACATACATGCATATTTACTGGAGTACTGCCCGATACTTACACAGATCAGAAAAAAGGCAGCATAACACGATTCTGTAACCTCATTATTGCACCAACCTGTCCCTTTTTTGGAGCCGTAGGGGTTTTGGGCTCCTGTTTGAACTTGTCCTTGTCCTGCAGAGAGGGGGGTGGTCCACTCGGCTCAGAAGAACGAATGACCGGCCGTGAGCTGTCAACAGACTTCACATCTGCTCCAAACATAGACAGAAGTTATTTAGCATCCTTTATTTAGCATTAGCATCAGTTTCATCCAGAGAAATATCACAAAGTTAAAAACTTCTCACTCTGTTGACTGTGGCTTGGTTGACTGGGCTTGTTTTCAGGATGTTTGTGACGGTCTGGTCTCATTGCAGGGTTCAACTGATCTCCTCTCATCACTGGTGATGGAGGAAGTCTTTCTTCCTTAATTGCACCTTGGTTTCCAGAGGCCCTCTGCTGCATTGCAAGTAAATGAAATCAAAGTTAGATGGTGCGCTGGCCTTTTGGCCTTCCTTCTAAAACACTGCCCCACCTATGCAGATTTTCATTTTACCTTTTTGGGCTGCATATTATGAGATGGAGACTGGTGAGACACAAACTGGGGAAGTTGTGGAGAATGCATCATGAGAGGAGACGGGTTGTCCCTTATTTGACCTGTCAAAAACAGAATTAAATGTGTCTCAGCACAATCAAATTTGATAAAGTGTTAGCTTCTACAAACAAACTTGTTTCATCTTCTCAGACGCACCAGTGTTATAAGGGTCAGCTTTGATTGGGCGAGGGGAGGGCTGCTCTTGCTGCTGCTGGATGATCTGCTGTGCTTTACTAGAGGGCATGGGTATACTATGTTGTGGACCCTGGTTCTGACTGAGTCCAGAACCCTGAAGGAAATTTGTTTGCTGCAGTTGTGATTGCTGTTGTTGATGCTGAGTGTTTTGCATGTGACGGGCTTGGTGTAGGGATATTTGTGGGGGTGGGGCCTGAAGTATAGGAGTGGGCTGAGCCTGGGGCTGAACAGGAAGTTGTGGAGGAGGAAGAGGAGTCTGAGTAGAGAGCTGAGATTGTCCCTGGACAGACTGCAGAAGAGAAGTCTGTCCTTGTTGGTGTTGGTGTTGTGGCTGCTGCTGCTGACAAACTTGTGTCTGAAGCGACTGCATGGTCTGCTGAGGTTGACGGATTTGCTGAAACTGCTGTAGGTATAACTGCACTTGATTTAAAGATGCTGCAGACCCAGGCTCTTCATCATCTTCTAACAGCATCTGGGGAGGCTGAGAAGACAACAAGCCTTGTGGTGTAAATGTGGGTGGTGACATTGGCCTTTGATGCAGGGACTGAGATGGAGGGTGAAGTATCTGAGAGGAAAGCTGGTGCTGCGGTGGAGCTGCTGGCTGGGGTTGAAGCTGCTGCTGCTGCTGCTGAAGAGATGGCTGCTGCTGAAGAGATGGCTGCTGCTGAAGAGATGGCTGCTGCTGAAGTGGTGCTAGTTGCTGTTGAGGTGGTTTGGGATGAAGAGGTGCTGCCTTGTGACTGGGCCGAGACGGTTGCTGAGGCATAGAACTGTGTAGAGCTGAGAGAAAATAATTCCAAAAATCAAACAAGAACAAGAAAAAAAAAAAGATTGTAAGGATATGTTCAAACAAAAAAACAAATACATAATTGCATAAATAACATACTTGGTAACACTATGTTTAAATTATTGGGGAAAAATCATTTTGCACTTATCAATTTGTTTGTATAATGTTTTAATAAAAACAATTGTATACCAACTTTTACATGCATTAAAAAAACTGTTTTGTTGACATTTTAAAAATAAATATTCATGATTTATGTTAAACGTGATCTGTATCAAGTGTTAAAATGTTCTGTTACTCAATACTATAAAAATAAATTGGACCAGCCTAAAATATTTTCAAGTTTTATAAAATATGCATTACACTTTTAGACTTTTTAGAAGGGGAAAAAAGAACATCAGTGATGAAAAGGTCAAAAAAAGGTAAATTTACTAACAAATGTTTTATAACGAGATACAGCTTACTAAAATAAAAAATAAAGTGCATGACTAAAATAAACCAATGCAAAGTTGCTATTGTTAGTGTATTAGTGCATGAGATATAAATGTGAGATTGCAATCACACTTGCAAAAGCAATAAAACAAAGCTTATGAGGGATAGATCCACCAAAAGTGGAGCACCTGTATCTACCCATACCTGGAGATGGGAGGATGGGATGCTGATTGAGGAATGGGTGTGTCTCAGGGGACACTGGCCCAGCAGAATGTGCATTCAGATGCGGAGGTACAGGGGAAGAGTTGTCTGTGTGGTGTGGCAAATGCATTATTGGCTGATGGCTGCTGAAAGGCGGCAAGGACTCATAGCTCTCTAGTAAGTGGGAGGACTCCAGGGCTGCAACAGGGGGAGCAGCCACAAAGCTTGCAGAGGGAGGTTGATTCTTCATCTGACTGCTAGACTGAGGGCCAAGAATTTGGGATGGAAGCCCAGTTTGAGCAGGGCCTGCCTGAACAGGAGGATGCGTCTTCTTTCCCTCCTTCACAGGTTGGCTCTTCTTTTTCCGCTGTTTTATCATTCCTGAAAAACAAATATGGTGTGTGTGGGGGGTGGGGGCGTGTTTTAGAAGAGGGAGTGAGAACATAGATAGATTATAAATAGTGAAAAAAAAAAAAAAACTTGAACTAACCTGTGATCTCAGCTTCACTGTCTGAGCTTGAGTCACTGCTTTCCGAGGAAGATCCAATCTTTTTGGAAGTTGCCATGGACTCAATGTTCTTCTCAACTAAAAAAAACAACAACAACAAAAAAAAAACTATTGTGTTAAGACATTTTCTGAATGCAAAATCAAAATATAAAATTACTTACCAAAAGCAATCTCACTTTTTCTCAAGTAGACACTTTCTTTACTAGTTAATGAGATGCAGCCTCTCCTGCTTACGTCATCCAACAGCTTACCTGGAAACTTTTTCTTCTTCCGGAGGCAGGATGACACATACCTCTCCAGCTCACGCAGAGTGGAGGGCTTCAGTGTCTCAAAGTCAATCTCAATCTCATCAGGGTTTGAGTTTTTAAGTGAGGGCTCTCTTGACTGGATTATATGAACCACACGGCCAAGCTTATCCCCAGGAAGCTTGTTGATATCCAGGCTTAGCTGTCGCTTTTCTTCGTAGGTCATAGGCTTGCACTTCTCCCCTGTTACTGATGATCCAGTGGCTCCAAGATCATCCTCCAGGCTGGGAACTGGCTGAAGGGTAGGAGGATGACTACTTTTCACACCTTCCTTTTTACTGTGGAAGCCAAACACAAAATTTATTTTACAATGTAAACACTAACTTATTCTGTTAAAAATGTGCTTAAAATTTTACAATTAACAACAGTTAATTGTAACTGAATCTTGCAAAGACACACATCTATACATATTAAAAGTTCTGTTGACCAAATTAAGGACATTCATATAAAACATGATGATGCACCTCAGTCTATATAAAAGTGAAGGTGTACCTAAATATGTTCACACAATGACATGAGTAACTTTACTGGAGACATTTTTTTGAAAAGAACACCAGTATAAAACGTATTTATATAACTTAGCTTCTAAGAAATTCAAATAAAAAGAATGGCAGAAACAATGACAAGATTTCAATCATAAATTAGAATGGAGAAAATTTATTCCAAACAAATTACCTTTTTTTTAAATATCTACCCGAAGGAAGCCCAATACTCACCTGGATTTCTTTTTTGTAACAACCTCTTTGTTGGTGCTGGTAATGGGCTTGGTTTTCTTAGACAGCTGAGAAACAGGTGTAGCATCGTGGATTTCATCGAGGCCAGGCACACTACCTTTCTTTTTATGCTTATCTTTTTTCTTCTCTTTCTTTTCCTTTTCTTTTCTCTTTGGTTTGCTGGTTTGTGGTTGCGACAGGGCAGCCAGCTGTTCATGGACAGCCTTCAGCTGTTTAGAAAAATTGGACCAGTTTGAACAAATTGCTATTAAGAACTGGAAACAACATTGCCATCATCCTAAACCTGCTTTTTACTGACCTGTTCCTGGAGCTCTGCTAACTTCTGGGCTCTCTCTTCTTCAGAGTCATCTGTGGAAGATTCAGACTCAGAGGATGAGTCACTGGAGCTGTCTGAAGATGAGGCAACATGCGCCAGAGGAGGCTGAGGCTTAACGGGGGCAGGATGGTGAAGTATAGGAGCTGGCACAGAAACCATTGGCTTACACTCAAGTTCATCTGGCATCTTGGCAAACCACATTTCAAAGACATCCTGTTGAATAAAACAACTAGATTATCACCAAGTTTATTTACACACAACAAATAATAACAAAATATAAAAATAAAGACAGCCAAGGATAAGCTAAAACAACTACTAAATTCAACTAAAGTAGTTCATGAAGTGTAAAAATGGACTTTGCTTTTTCATTTAAGAAAACATCATGGCAAAAGTATCTGTGATAAAACACAATCAATTATTATTATTATTAATGTTGCATATAGTAAACTAAAATAATGCATTACTGAAAAAAGTATTTTCTAAAATTAGGTGCTTTAAGATTAATAAAACTGCACATAGAAAAAATGTTCAACTCCATTTTCAAGGAACAACAATATGTTTGTACCTGCAGTTTGCGTGCCATGCTTACAACTTCGTGATCTGGTGGATTATATTTGTAGCAGTTTGAAAACATTAACCGCACGTCAGCGGCAAACTCTTGAGGATCTAGATATTGCTTGTTCTCCAACTTAGACTGATAAACAAATGAAATATTTAAATTACTTGGGATGACAGAAATGCACTATCATTAATGTTTATTTAATTTTTGAGAGATAATCTTGTTTTTAATATACCTTAATGGTGCCGAGATCCATGGGATGTTTGATGATATCATGATAATCATGAAGTCCCAGTGCATCCACATCAACAGGTTTGTAAAAAGGCCAAGCACAAGCAGCGTGTTTCTTGGACAGCATCTCCTGAACCAAACCAGCACAATAACCTAACTGATCCTGAGGTTTAGGACTTAGACCTCCACTTTGTCCACTAAGTCCAGTACCCGTGCCTATGTAATGTTGAGAGTCTGGAGCCTCCTTCTTTGTCAGTTTCGGGGGTCGGCTACTTTCTCGCTTAGGTAGCGTCTTCCCAGATTTGGATTCTGCTGGTGAAGACTCACTCATCTGGTCATTTGCTGTGGGAGTTGTAGTGTCTGCTTTTCTTTTTTGGCTCTTTTTTTGCTAATTAGTAGGGAAAAAAAACATCAAAGAGAAAAGAAGACAAGTGGTCAAAAGTCAAACTCAAGTACTTAAGCATTTATGACGTGTTAAAAATGTGCCAACCAGCACAGATATGTATATATATATTTTTTTTATTAAACTCACTTTGGTCATTGTTATAGGAGTCTGCGGCATGGGAGTAGTGCTTTGAACCGATACTGGAGGAAGAGAGGTCTGAGCAGGGTGAGGCACAGGAGTCATAATAGGAACTTGAGGAGCACAGTCTGATGGAACCATGGAGTACGAAGCTCTAAGCTGTGGCACATGGCTAGGTATTGTTTGGGGTACATGGGATGGTAGGGCCTGCATTGAAGGAAGGGGAGGTAGTGAAGGTGGGGTCTGCGTTGGTCCTCGAGACTGTGAAGCTGGTGAGGGGGCTGACAGACCAGGTGTTTGTGGAGTCGTGGCTGGCGAATCTATAATTGTTCCTGGTTTCAAGTTTAGACCTTGACGACAGCAATAAACTTAGATTATTTTTCTATTTTACAAATTCTTGCCATATAACAGCAAAACAAAGGTAAGAAAATCACATACCACCTTCTCTCCTGCCTCGGCCACGTCCTTTTCCTGTCATGACGGGAATCTCAACTTCCTCCTGAGGCATTTCTGCAACCTTCTCAAGGAAAGCCTTCTCTAGAGCCTCAGCCATTAAGACAATGTCGTCTCCAGACTGTCGAAGAAGCCAAACATTCTTAGCAAAAGTGGAAGTATAATAGACACTTTGCTATATTAAAAAAAAAGCAACAATGGCTCCAGTGTACAAGTATGTTACCTTGTTGTATAGGTAGCAGTTGGTAAACATTGAGCTAAAGTCATGGACACATTCTTCGGCATTCCAGTAGTAGCTGTTCTCAAGTCTTTTCTTGATTGTTCCCATATCCATAGGTGTTTTTATTATTGTGTAATAGTCCTAAAACAATATCAAATAAGTAGATTAGCAAGAAAACCATAGTGGGAATTTTTTGTACCGTCTATCAATATGCTAAAACATATTTGAATAAAAGTTATTCTAAACGGTTAAAGTAAAAACTCAAAACTTTAAGGACCTAACTGAACCAAATCGAACATTTTTTTTGTAATTTACCACCCATTAGTCAGTATTTCATTCTATTGGTAAAGCTATTGCACATCAAAAATTGGAAATCATGCTTATTGTGCAAATAAAATGGTCCAAATGATGCCCAAATTTCAGCATCTAGTTATTCAGTTCAATTAAGTTTATTTATATAGTGCCAAGTCACAACAGAAGTCATCTCAGGGCACTGAACAGAAACATCCATACATAAAAAAATAATAATAATTTAACACTATATATCTGAGGAGCAGACTGCTTTGAATTTAACTCCATCACAGAGCTCTCATCTTGAGCAAACACAAAGTCAACAGTGGAAAGGAAAAACTCCCTCATGAGGAAGAAACCTTTAGCAGAACCAGGCTCAGGACAAGCAGCCATCTGATCTAATACAACTAACAGTTTTACTTTTTGTAGTTTAGAAAACTTTCTAGATTAATGCGTGAACAATATGATTAGAAAGGTGGTCAAGACCTCACATCCTAAAAGCGGGTAGAAAGAAATGCCAGTCAATCAATTTCAATCATCATTTACTCTGATGATAATGTGACATCCAAAACTGAGGACAACAAAATTCATTATGCGAAATGTGTATTAGGGCAGGATGGTGGTGCAACTAGTAGAGCTGCTGCCTCTCAGTGAGCAGGCTACCCTGGTTCAAGTCCCGGTCCGGGGGCCTTTCTGGGTGGAGTTTGCATGTTCTCTCCGTGCATGCATGCTTTTTCTCCAGGTACTCCAGTTTCCTCCCACAGACCAAAAACACGCATGTATGGCTGACTGAGCTGTCCAGGGTGTCCCCTGCCTCTCGCACAGTGATTGCTAGACATGGGCACTGGCGACCCCCGTGACCAGAAAAGGAAGAAGAAGGTAAAAGATAATGGATGGATGGAAATGTGTATTATAGAAATGATCAAAAAGTCTTATTTTAAGTACAGATTGGTATGTTTAAAAGTATATATTTTATTTGTGTGTACAAAATTTTTTGAAAGGCACAAATGTAGAAATTTAGTAGCTCAGGCATGACTGTGCGACCAGCCAGTCACAAGATTTTCAAGGGAATATGTTCATACACATGCACAATGTTTCATCATGTTAACAAATGTTGCAATGCCTGGCATCATTTATTCACATTGTCATGGGACATGGCTGGCTTTTGATGCAGCCTAAAGGGCCAGTCTTTACAACATATCACAGGGAAACAGAATCTGAAGGTTTTTTATTTATTTATTTTTATTTTTTTTTACCTGAACCTCAGATTCAGGAGGAACAGTGTGGTTTTCGTTCTGGCCGTGGAACACTGGACCAGCTCTACACCCTCAGTAGGGTCCTGGAGGGTGCGTGGGAGTTTGCCTAACCAGTCTACATGTGATTTGTGGACTTGGAGAAGGCGTTCGACCGTGTCCCCTGGGGAACCCTGTGGGGGGTACTCCAGGAGTATGGGGTACCAGGCCCTTTGATACGGGCTGTTAGGTCCCTGTATGACTGGTGTCAGAGCTTGGTCTGCATTGCCAGCAGTAAGTCGGGCTCGTTCCCCATGAGAGTTGGACTCAGCCAAGTTTGCCCTTTGTCACAGATTCTGTTCAAAACTTTTATGGACATAATTTCTAGACACAGCCAAGGTGTAGAGGGGATCTGTTTTGGTGGTCTTAGGATTGTTTCTCTGTTTTTTGCAGATGATGTGGTCCTATTGGCTTCATCAGGTCATGATCTAAAGCTTTTGCTGGAGCAGTTCGCAACCGAGCGCGATGCAACCGGGATGAGAATCAGTTCCTCTGAATCCGAGGTCATATTCTTGAGCTGAAAAAGGGTAGCGTGCCCTCTCCGGGTTGGGGAGGAGGTCCTGCCCCAAGTGGAGGAGTTTAAGTATCTCTGGGTCTTGTTCACGAATGAGGGAAAAATGGAGAAAGAGATCGATAGGCGGATAGGTGTGGCGTCTGTAGTGAAGCGGGCGCTGTACCGGTCTGTTAAGGTGAAGAGAGAGCTGAGTCAAAAGGCGAAGCTCTCAATTTACCGGTCGATCTACGTTCCAACCCTCATCTATGGTCATGAGCTTTGGGTTGTGACCGAAAGAACGAGATCACGGATACAAGTGGCTGTAATGAGTTTTCTCTGCAGGGTGTTTGGGCTCTCCCTTAGAGATAGTGTGAGAAGCTCAGGCTCAGGAATCAGGGTAGAGCCGCTGTTTCTCCACATCGAGAGGAGCCAGTTGAGGTGGCTCAGGCATCTGGTTAGGATGCCTACTGGACGCCTCCCTGGTGAGGTGTTCCGGACATAACCCACCAGAAGGAGACCCAGAGAAAGAGCCAGGATATGCTGGAGGAAATATGTTTCTCGGCTGGCCTGGGAATGCCTTGGGATTTCCCCAGAGGAGCTGGCCCAAGTGGCTGGGGAGAGGGAAGTCTGGGCCTTCATACATAGGATGCTACTCCAGCGACCCGACCCCGGATAAGCAGAAGAAAATGGATGGATGGATTTTTACCTGATGGAATAAATGGAGCGGGCCTCCTGCCTGTGTTCACTTTGTGCATGTAAACATGAGACTTCACTGTTGTTTCAAGCAACAAAAACAAAGGTGGCTATGAAGAACATCAATTTAGAAAAGATTATGTACACAGAGAATTGCACACTCTAAGCTCTAGATTCTTGAGCGCTATCTGTTCCAGTTTAGCTCAGAAATTTCCCTCCCTCCAATTTGCTCAATTTATGCCTCAAATCAAAGCAAATACTGTAGCTTTAATTACCGTATATGCTGACTCAAACATGCTGATCAATTTCGGCAGGTGACAACAATCTGCACTCATTTTGCGTCAGGAAACAGCAGAACTACAAAAACTATTAATGCCATAAATCTTCAGGCACAAAATGGCATAAAGAGAAGAACATTTTCTTACAGTGAGCTGCAGCTCTTATTGTAACAGATTAGGCACTGAATAACTCCTAACACTGGATGAAAACCTCACTGGGTCAAAGAGAAACAGTGTTCCTGATGACACTTTTAAATCAATAAATGACATTTTGGGCCTTATTGACCTTTACAGTCTCCTCTTTTGTATACTTGTTAGTTTTTTTCAAAATAATCCTTCTGGATGACAAGGTGCATGTTGTGCACTCTCCCTGTCTTGAAGGACTCTCATCACCAGAACAGAGTTTTAAAAATATTTTTCTGAGATCCCTGAACCCTTTTGTGAGGACAACATATTGTTGAACCTTCTTACTTTTCTTAGAGACGTATAGCACATGCTCTCAAGAGGCAGTAGAGCTTTGATGCCAAATCTCTATTCCAGACTGAGCTGAACTTAGAGAATCAGACATGCTTTGTTCTGGCAGTAAACTATATAAATATGAAAATGTTTTTTTTAAATGCATGCAGAATACCTAATTTAAATGTGCACAAACTGCAGAGATGCTATGCCAAAACAGAGGTGCAAAGCTCAACTTGAGTGGGCTCTGAGAAAGAGACAAAAATGAAAAAAATTCTATATTATGCCTGCAAAAGACATTAATTATTAATAAATCTGAGCCTCAGTCTAATTTTTCAATAAATAAATGTTTTTATCCTTCTTATTTTCCCAGCAAAATGCACTTTAAACATTTCACACCCCCATGGAGTGATCGATCATTGTACAAATCCTTGACTCACAAACTATAATGCTTAAATGCAATGAAAGTTGCTTCTTCCAAACTTCCAACAAAATAAAATTTTCCTTTATTTTGTTTAAGGACACTTAAACAATTTAATATCCTAAATAAATACTGGTTTATTGCATGAATAGAAAGGTGACCTGGATGGTTTGCACACATTAGTAAATCGTCAATTAGGCTTGATTCAGTGCTCTGAGATGACTTCTGTTGTGACTTGGCGCTAAACTGAATTGAACTAATTATAATGCAAACAGCGAGAATTTGTAAATGTTGAAAACACTTATTGCAGCTCACATGAGAAACCTTACGAGACAGTTTTTGTGAATGTGAAAGAACAATGTACACTAAGTACAACTTTTACTCACAGGCAGGTTAAGCTTGACTGCATCCACTGGTGCATGAAAAGGCCAGGCATACTGGTGCTTCCAAAGGGATTTCACCACCACCTTGAGCAGATATTGCAGTTGATTGGTCTGGCGCTTTGGCCTGTTGGGGTTGATATACTCTGGAGGTGGGGGATTGACACCATGTTGGGCCTGCCCCTGGCTGCTGCTGCTTCCCGACATCTGTGCTGTATCCAGGCCATCCCCCATCCTGACAGGGTTGGGTGTGGGCTTGTGCCCCAAAACGGGAGCTGAAGCAGGAGTAGGGCCAGGGGTAGTGGTGCTGGCAGGACACCAGTTCAATCTTGGCCCCGGCACAGATTCCACTGACAAAGTACCACTGATCCCATTGCACTCCTCACTGGAATCTCTGGAGAGAGAACGCATTAAACTGTTATTAACCCAAAACATATATTTAACAGCAGAACAAAATTATTGCATGCTTCAGTGTAACTATGCAAGAAAGCATATATTTTCTAACAACAAGTTTTGGAAGTGCAAATTCCTAACCATCAGAAATATTTGTTTGAATTTTATTTTTCCTCAAACATTTTAGACTAGACTTAAAGAATGGAGGAATATGATCACAGTATGTGACTTGTGATGCAGAGTTATGTGAAAGTCACTAACTTACATACTGGTGATTATTAATTGTTAAGTATTAAAACTATTAGGTCAAGTACATGTATTTATTTATACCACAAGCTTTGGCATTATAAAAGTGATACTTATGTTGCAAATTAATACTAAAAGCTGATTTAGCTTACACTGAACTGATCATTTTAATGGCCAGTTACATTACTGAAAATATTGCTGACATTTAGACTTTTACTTCACTGTTTACCAAAAAGTAATGGTGGTGACTGAAGTTTAAATTTTAATGAACATTTAGAGCTTATAAAAAATATTTCATGTGCTGTTTAACAATGTATTCTAGTGGAATAGATTATTTGGAGTATATTTATTTAGGTATATCGGTATATATATATATATATATATATATATATACACACATATATACATGTGTGTGTGTGCGTGTATATAACAAGGACAGGAACACCATTAATTGCTTATTCACCAAAAGTTTCTTTCTTTCATAAAATCAGCTTAAGTCATCTAGAAATAAGGTCTACTATCAAGTTACAGTGTCAACCACAAAACAACTATGTACCATCTATGTACTAATTACACTGATACTTTCTTCTTTTTTTTAAACCATAATTTTGAATGTTTAGGTTTGAAACTAGAAGTGAAGTTAATTCAGTGGTATGTGTTGTCATCATTGTATGTTCCCATACAATGGCAAAATGAGTTCTCTGCATTTAACCCATCACACCTGAGATGAATTCAGGTGGAGCAGTGGGCAGCTATGTAAGCACCCGGGGAGCAATTAGGGGTTGGATATCTTGCTCAAGGATACCACAACATGTGGGCATGGCGGGGAGTCGAACCGCGACTTTCTGGTCCCAAGTCGGCTGCCCTACCTCTACACCATTTCAGCCCCTAAATTCATTAAAATAAATAATATTTTCTTCTTTTATAAACTAAGTACAAAATAGCACAAAATAGCTCAATATCAGTACCAAAACAAATACAGCCAGTAGGTGAAGTTCTTGTTGTACATCTCTAAGCCAAATCCACAAGGGAATGGCATTTTGTAAATAGGAAAAAAAATCGATATCTTTTTAATTGTCTCGGCCTCGTTTACAGTTTTTGGTGCATTTTCACAGCAATGTTACAGCCCCACTTACAACTAAGCTTAGTTAAAACAGTGTTTTGTGTAAATTTTGTGTTTAAGTGTGGATAAAAACATTTCTTGAAATGGTGCCAAGATTACAAAGACATTTTTAGAAACAACAAATAAAAAGATTGCTTTGAAAAGAGAATGTTCTTGTGTGGACAGTTCCAAACAATCTGGTCAGACCTGGTGTTTCAGTCTGTCTCGAGTTACTGTTGAATTCGAATAGAACTGAATACCAGTGTGAATAACCTTAGTGCACACGCTGAAAACTGTTTTACTCAGACCACCTTCGAATATAATCTAGACCCCTTTTATTTTCACACATATGGTATTCTGAATACAATCCACTTTGAGGTTCTATCTACCTGGTAGTTTCTTTATTCTGACCGTTTTCATAGCTGATTCGACCCACTGTGGTCACTGTAAGCTAGAATAGACCTTCTCAATGATAGATCAATCTGAGCAGCATGTCACTATTTATTTATTTATTTATTTATTTAATTAATTAATTAAGCACAACTCTGATGTTACATTCATAGTAAATCTGTGAAAACAGCTGCTGGTATTTATTGTATGTACAAGTCTAATTTTTCAGTTCTTAGTCTGACAAGAGTTCTGTTAATTCACTAATCAATGCATTATATTTCTCACATATTGCATCTGTTATATAGTTAAGCCCACCAAGAGATAACTCTACATAAAATGGGACAATTTCTGTTTCATTCCTTCTCTTATCTATGTATTGTGTGATGGTAAACCAGTTCTGCACTTTATCAAGCTGAGCACAACATAATGTTAAACACACTACGGTAGTATTCATACTGCAACAAAGTTACAACAATTTCAACCAGGCACAACTAGCAGTTGTGACATTTTAAAGCCTTCAATTAGAAAAATTCACACAATCAAACATATTAGTGTTTGTACAAAATCAAACTCTGATCACTCCAAAGTGAACTGAAACCTAACCTGTTTTTGTTTTGATGAGCAACATCCCCAGCAGGCTACAGGCTGACAAACTGCTTCCTGGTCAGTAAAAAAAAAAAGCCCTAAAATGGGTTTCCTGATGCATGTTCACCTAAAATGGGTTGTTGTTTAGGTGCAGCTCCTGAACTAGCATTTTTGTGGTCAGTCACCTGTTTCGTTCAGACTTTATCCTTTGTCTGATATTTCTATTTATCTGTATTACAGAACTAGGAAGTCAACAAAATACTGCATCTACTGCAACTGACATGTACACCTTTGGTTGGTTCCTTAAAATGTCAGGGCTGAAATATAAAGCACAGATAAAAGACAGCTAAAGAGACATTACATTATGTACATAGAATAGTTTGGCTGTCTTGTGTGTAACTGGTTTGGACCATTAGTTTTTCTTTAAAATAGGAAACAAGTAAGGCCAGTATTTCAAATTTACACTTATCACACTTTGGCCAGCATGCAGTATTTTATTTCTTACAGTTCTGAAAATTTGTTTTCAATGTTAAACAATAACCACCAAGATAGTTGTTATTTTAGTTTTTAATTTTAGTTAGATTTTGGGGTGATTGATTTACCTAGAAACGATAAAATCAAATGAGGATCAAACAAATATAAATGTTTCTAGTGTTGATTGAAAATCCTGACTAAATGCATCAGTTTGTGAGTTCACAAGATGACTCAAATAGACAAACCATGAGTCAGAAACTTAAAAGGAAAAAACAAGAATCACATTGGCTCTTAAGTTTAACTTTCAGCTGGTTAGGACGAGACGAAGCATTCCAGGAAGCAAGAGACTTTTATTCTATAAATACAACTATCACCCTCTCCCTCTGAACTAACTGTTTTCACCAGGAGATAGATTTGTGGCTTCTCACAAAAAAATTGGATAATGATTCTATTCTGAAAACAATGGTGAAGGTCTAAATCAGAACTAAAACTCCAGACAGTCCACTCTAACTTTTTTAAACTGAAAATTTAGAGCAAAAAATGTAGTAGGAACGTCAGTGACACTATTAAATATCCAAACAGCTTATAGAGGAGTCTCTCACCACATAATACTGTATTACCTTTTCACTGAGACTGAATGTGCAATTTTTTCCAGAAGAGCATCCAGTTTTTGGAAATCCAGTAAATCATTTGACTTGGCATGCATCTTGTAATCCAAAAATGAACTCTAGCGAACAGAAACAGAAAACAAAAACTAATCCAAGGCAAGAAAAATTTACATAGGTTAGTTTCTCCTTTTTGTTATTCCATTTTGTTATTCCAAACACAGGTAAATGTATTTATCTACTCCATGATGTGTCCTAAAATACCATAGAGACACAGTGAGTAATCCTTAGTCTTGTCTAAACAAAGTTTGAGGGTGGTTGTTCCAGGAATAAATGCCTAATCGGGAAATGGTAAGTTCAGGCAGGAAAGAGAGGCTGTTAGAAACCTACAGCCGGCAGGCTGTGTTAGCTGTGTGAACCGGTCCTCCCTCTACCCCATCCCCCTCTCAGCAGTACAACAGCCCAGTTGCCACAGGCTCTTTGCTCCATTGTGTCCTCTTCAGGGCCTCCCCAAATAAAGTGGACACAAGAAGATGTCAATAAGAAAGGGCAAAACAAGGCAGGGAAAAGGTCTCCAGTAAAATCCCGGAGAAGATCTTTATTCCTCTAGGTACGCTTTCATCCTCTTCTGACACTGGCAGACCAGCATGCAGTTACTCAACAGTAAAAATGGCTCTGCAGCTTCCTCATTCAGCGAGCCTCTGCCCACACACCCCTCCCCTAACTCTCTCCCTCCTACTTGCTTGCTCATTCCACCCCTTCATTTTTTCCTTTTTTCCCATCACTAGAGATTCTTGAGAGTTACATATTTTAATACCCACTCCCTTCCTTTCTTTTTTAGGGGGGGGGGGGGGTAACTTCTTAAGTACCAGCCCCATGCACCCTTATCTCTTGGAGCAATCTATGCCTTCCCCAATCAATTTAAAAATCCTCTCACTCCTCACATCCTTCTCACTAGTCTTTTCTACAGGTGTGCAATGGACAGTGTCCTGTGCTCCAGCATCAACATGTGGCATGGAGGCTGCACAGCTGCAGAAAGGAAAGCTCTAGAGAGTTTCAAAGGCTGCTGGCCCCCTTCTCTGTTCAGAGTAAGACCTCCTAGAAGCTCAGTCCGCTTCTCCTCTTCTAAAACAAATCATGATCACCCTCTGCATCAACGAAGTCTTCACTGTCTGACTCAGACTGTTTTTCTCCTTCATGACCCTTTTCCTCTGTCTGAGAGGTTGCGTCCATGGTTCCATCCTCTGGGTCCGCAGCTCCACCACCTTCATCATCTCATTGTTTTGACTCAAACACACTAAAGCCCCCAGTATACTGACGCGTACGTACGCGTGAACGGACGTACGCGTGTACTGTATGCAGAGGGTTCAGACTTCATACTCCAGCGTACACACCGAGAAGCTGCAGAGCAGCTTCACAGACAAGGGGCGTTTACCTTCGGGACAAATTGAGGTCGCCGATTGGTCATTTGCTGATACGCCTACTGGATTGACTGACAGGTCAGAAAAAAGAAAAAAGCGAGCACTGGCAGCCTCAGCCGCAGCGGTGTTCTGTGTTTATATGTTGTTAATAAAAAGATCTAAAAAAACCCAAAAAAAACCAGAGCACTGGCTCTACAGCCCACACATCAGACCAGCACACCAGGAAATCTCCAGACACTCCCGCAGCCACGCTGGACCTGAGTTTATAATTCGCTCGTGACAAATTCCTTCATTTCTCACCATTTCAGTCATGGCATCAACGGAGGAGGAAGAGATCACTTGCCTCTTGGCAAAAAAAGAAAAGGCCAGATCAGAGATGAAGAAGGGGAATTTAATACATTGGTGTTCCAAACAAAACAGTCCGTCACTGGGCAGTTTATTGTGCGACACCGCATATGCGGTCGTAAAAATTTGAGCTTTGCACGGACATGCTCTGGGGGGTATGCTCGTACCTCCACGTACGTACGTGTGTACCTCTGCGTATGGACGTACACGGCAGTATACTGGGGGCTTAAAACTGACTACACTAAACACACTAAACTGTAGTCTAACTATAAAATCCAAACACGCTAAATATCAAAATTCTCTCAAACCTCATCACTCACTCTTGCTCTTGCTGTCAATCATGTGATGAACTCCATTCAACTTCCATGTCTTTTTCTTCTTCTTCCTGTAGATTGATTGGCTATTGACAAATAACTGTGAGCCTCTGTCAGAAGGGAGGGGTGAGGTTGTTTAGCTGTTTGGTGGGGGTGGGAGGTGAAAATGGAGGGTGATGGGAGTGTTTTGTCCCCGAGACTGCCCACCTTTGCTGCAGCCTCTCGCTCTAACGTGCTTCAGATATGATGATTTTCAAAAAAAGATGTGGTGTGGATTATTTATCATAACTCTGGTTTTACTTGGCCTGTCAATGCAAATAAAAACTTGTGTGTAGTTTAAACTCTGTACTTTTGACAAATTAAAATGGAGTCTCTGAGAGGATGTGACTTTCCCCGCTAGAATGACTGAAATCGGACAAGTGACTATCAAGTGCAAGCATGTTGACTGGCTCAAAAGGGGGTGGGGGTCAGTCAGAATAGGTGAAAAACAAAAAAAAAAAATTGGTAAAATCGGTTTCTCATGCAAGTATCGGCCGATTTCCGATTTCCCAAAACTAAGGAAAACGGGGCCGATAAAATCGGCCGGTCGATTTATCAGTGCACCCCTAGTCAAGAGTATCAATAATACTTTGTTTCAGTTTGTTTGAAAGCCATCGTGATTGTCGTTGTCTAGCACTACAACTTTCTATAATGGTGGAAAAGTGGCTTTGCACACTACCGGTTGAAACGTGTGGGAACTATGCAGTTTCCCTCTTATAATGCTCTTATTGCGAGTATCACGCAGCCCTCTATGAATAGCAAGCGGCCATCAGGACACTAACGATGGGTTGTTAGGCTGGATGGTCCTCCTATTACATATGAACAATTAGTTTGGGCTGTCACCAGCAAACTGGTTGATCCATTATGCAATGATGCTGTTAAAAAGACAGTTTGCTTGCAGCTCCTCAGACTGAAGAAGTATGTTGGATAAACAAAAACAAACCTGTCCAAAAGACCTGACTCAACTAAGTTGGAAGAAGTAATGAACGCTTACAAACTTGTAGTACATACAGCAGTGTTTCCCCTAGGTCACTTGGTTTGGCAGGGCGCTCATCTCTTCGGTGGTTTGTGTTGGGGGGTGGGGGTGGGCACGTGTCTGTGTACATTAGTGCCGGCCGTTGTCAACCGGGGGTGAGGGGTGTGTGTGTGTGTGTGGGAGAAGCGGAGCACTACGTCTGTACCTCTTTAGCTAGCTTTTTAGCAGTAGAGGTCTGTTACCTCTGTACCCTTTAACTAGCGCTGTATTTCGCACTAGCTTAGCACTACCGCCGTGCTAGCAGGTGGTGTGGGGAGTTGTGGGTGAAGGACATTTCAGTAGGCAGGGCACTCGGTTCTGTTGACAGGGCGGCGCGCCCTCCTTGGATAATGGTAGGGTACACTATACAGATAAGCTCCCCAGAGTGAAAACTGATCAAAATAGAATTAATCGTTATGGTGAATTAAACAGACTGAACTTGCAGCATAACAATTATACTTACAATACGTAATGTGGTGAGCTCAAATGAGATCCCTACAATCTATTACCTTTCAAATGTCTTCTGTACAAACCAGTGCACAGAAACAGTTCAATCAATTAATTACATGTTAATGTCCTAAAGATCTGCAGATCAGTAATCACCAATAAATTTAAACTGGGTGTGTTGAAGCAAAGAAACACAGAAATGCAGGACAGTGGCCCTAGACAACCAAAAATCGACACCACTGGCACTGAAATGTCTGTTACAAATTATCTTGGTTACACAGTTCACAATTACATGAAAAATTCAATGGGAACTATTGTGACATCAGACATTTGACACTACACACTTTGAGTGACAGCCATTCTGTGTCAATGTCAGTGCTGAATCAGAGAACCAAGCTAGAAAATATGTTTAGTTAGCTGGAACCTAAAAATATTTCTCTGCTCAGCCCATTTCTATTAGTGTATCCACTTTATTCCCGAGTGTTTACTATATAAATGATTATGGGTGCAACTTCCTATCAGACATCAGAAGTAGCAGTAAGAATTGATTAACCATGGTAGCAAAGCACGGACACCATTTTTTTCTTCTTCAGTTTAGCAGATAAAAAGCGGTTTTTGTTTTGTTTACATTTATTTAAAACCCATAAAAAGTTTACTAAAATAACTTTGCGGAGTTCAGGTACGTGTTGTGTTGTTCGTGGCTGCATGAACAACCAGACCAAACTAAATCCGTGTCTACAAGAAGTGTTTTGAACATGAACACAAAACAAAATTAAAGGGGTATCTACATATGTACCCAATTTCAGCTCTGTACGATGTACCAGTTGTTTATCTCACGTTAGGGGGCGCTGTAGAGCAGTTTGGCCACGCCCACTTTCGGTCCCATTAAAATACTAAAATTTCACGTGGGGGACAATTTTGAGTAAAGCTTAGTGAGATTCCCAATATGTTAACCCCTCCAAATTAACGCTTCTTTCAGACAAAAAATAATTATAATAAACAGAGCAATTACAATAGGCCTTCACACCGTTTAGCTGCTCGGGCCTAAAAAGTGTTCCTGTGAAAAGTGGTATAGTTTCCATAGCCTGCCTATAAATGAGGAATTAAGAAGAATGTGGCTGAAAAATCTGAACTTGAACAGACCACGCAAAACACTGTATGCGTGCTCAATTCACTTTTTTGACAAACGGCTGAAGGAGGCCGCATCCTACTTTGTGGCTGGGCTACAATAAACCACCGGAGAAGACACACCGGATCCTCAGAAGGATTGAAAACAGTGTGACAAGAATATCAGGTATGATTTCAAGTGTATGAAGGGCAAAGCATTACAGTGTTTGTTCAACTTCGGTATTACGATTTTCTCTGCAAATAACTCAAGCTCGATGATGCGGGACTTTAAGACCATGGCTGGGCTCTATGTCTGCTTAAGGTTAATAAGCTTGTGTCCCACCTCTTTTAACAAAACACGACCGACCGTATTACTGTGTAGATACTAATACACCTCAGAGCTTTTCAGGTTGTTCATCGTTTCACTGTCGGAAACAACCGAGGCAATGAAATAGCTAAATATGCTAGTATATGTAATCTGCAGCCTCTTCTTCAGGTCGTCCTCCCATCCCTCGTCCACAGTAGGCAGCAGTATGATTATATGGTCCTGTTTGAGCTCTGACAGGTGGTGTTCCTACGTGTTTAAATTAAATCTGCAATGCTAGGATCTGCAATGCTTGGAGAAACTACATTAGGTCGTACTATTCACACATAAACAAATGCATGTTCTGGTCCATGCTGAAAGCTGTACCCATAATTCATGCAAGGCACCATGGGGCTTAAGAATAAGATGGCTAGGTTGACCACATATCATGCTTATAAACCATAAAACTCTAACGGAATGACAAAAGAAACAAAATACATAAGTGATGTTTGGTACACAAGTAAAGTTGACGTAGATGAATAGCATTTTTTTTCTGTAAGAGGAGGTGATATTTTCAATAATATGCCAATGATGTTTTTACTAGTTAAATAATTTATTGTCTATTCCTGCTGTTTACAATACTCCAAAAGATAATATGGTATAACTTATGATATAAAAAAAACATATTTTATGTTGTTGGAACATTAGTTTGTTTCATACCAGCAAGAAAATATTCTCAACATTTATTTCCTTGCATCTACACTAAACTGTAACAAATAAAATAATATTGATTTCTTTTTTGCAAGTTTTTTTTTTTATTTCAATTACTTGAGGGATTAAATGTATTGCTTTATAGGGGGAAATATCACATTGGTTGATAAAGAAACACTGACTTATATGATTAAAGAATAACATGTTTAAAGAACACCTATGACAGAGTGATAAATGATTTAGATGCAATAAAAGGAATTATAAACATTATAAATGCAATATGATAGATTAATTGTCAACAAATTTACTTTTTTATTCATGGTTACTGAAACAAAACAGAGTACATCATCAACATAGCAACTAAACACAAGACAAGACATACTGGTACATGCATACTTACATATATACAAATAAAACAAAAGGTGTCTGACAAACTAACAGACTGACAAGAAACTTGCATCTACAACCGTCTCACAATATATCCGCACGTTGATTTAATTCAACTCTCTTATTTGCTCATTTAACCAAGCGTATACATGAGAACACCTTTCATGCCTGGCCATTTATAAATTAACGCGCAGCCTTAATTAATTTGCAGGACAGAGAAAATAGCATAACCCTGGAACCTTAACGCCCCAATGTACATCTCTAGGCTAAGGTTGTTTACTTCTGTATAATTGAGTACATTCGACTTTCAAATACTAAATCAGGTGACTTTAAGAGCACTAGTAACGCTATAAGATCATACACATTTAGACTTTTAACGAGTTGGCCAGAAAACATTAACACAAGTCGATATCTTGCAGGAAGGACATAACGGGCCTCCAGCACGACTAATGATACAACCATGATGAAAGTCAGAAAGATTTGTGTTAATAATTATAACACATCTCTCTGGCACAGGGGCTGTTAGTAGATGGGGTGAAAATGAAAAGCGAACAAGCAAGGTAATGACTGCTACGGGCGATCATCGTACAGAGCCAAGTCCCCAATGTTAGGCCACAGGGCATAGGCTATCGCTTGGGTTTTGTAATGACATCTGTGCCATATACTGCATAAAAAAAGGGGGCAATAATATATCTCGTTCTATCATTATGGCATCAAACCACTGAATGCAGAATATTAGATGCGTGTTTTTGTTAACAACTCAAAGTGACTGTATCCTTAGCCAACGGGCTCAGTCTGAGTGTGCGCCATCATCACCGTGACGGAGTCACCGTCTCCCACAACACAAGACTCTCGATGAGCAAACAAGCATTAGGTGATCTTGACGGTGCTCATATCGTGAATCGTAGGACAAACTGAGGCGTAATTGTGACCACTAGTGAGTGAGACAGACAATGGAGGTCAGGGAAACACAAATTATTGGTGCGGTTATTGTGTCTTTTTGGTAGACAACTGCAAACTAGCTTTAGCTAGCAAGCTAGCTACCCAGAACAGGCCGCTATGCAAGAGAACGGTTTCTGTAAACGCCGGGGATCTTTGAGGCATTTACATCACTGTTGCCGCTTGTCTTGTCCTTTTTCACTCTGCTTACTAAGGTAACATGACTGGCAAAAGAAGGTTGGAAACGACAGCGTTTACCTGGGTTTCTCAGATTGCCAGGGTGCGCGGGATCTTTCTCTCCGAGGATCCTGAACACCTCTCGTTGTCAATGACGTCACACGTAAATCCGTACTTGAGGACGTAAAAAGCGTGTCACGAGCATCAACAAAACGAGCAGCAGTTTTTAAGGAGGAATTGTGTAAAATTAAAACATTCGATCTAAGGAAAAAATTGCATCACATTATTATTTAAGCATTATTAATGGAAATGACTCAGGCTATCTGAAGTACGATAAAATTATTTTATTTTAATATTCACCAGTGTTGTATAAAGTACCTCAAAGTGATACTTTTGTGAAAGTACAAGTATCTTACCGTAAAATTACTTTGGTAAAAGTTAGTCTCCTTTTAAATGATTACTTAAGTAAAAGTCTTAAATTATCCAACATTTAATGTACTTAAGTATCAAAAGTAAATTTCTCATATAGAATGCATTTCAAGTAAGAGAATTAAGTAAAAGTGAATGGATAGAATTTACAAAAAAACATTTATTGGGTGCAATATCAATGACAAAACTTGGAAAGTTTGAAATGAGCAATGAAAGATTGCTCTTTTAAAAAAAATCTGATTTTTTTGAAGTATTCAACCTTTTTTAACTTTTATTATCAGAGCTGTTAGAAAGCCCACCACATTGTGTTGGTTTGTTTACTGAGCTCGGATCTGTTTGGTTATGGCTTGTTTCTTTCTGAATATAATAGTTCCTATGCTCTTGAATGCACCGTGGCTGTTCCAGCTAGTGAACGCATTGCTCAGTGTAAAGTGCAGAGCTGTAGGTGTGTTTTTTCTCTCCTGACACGGAGGCAGCCTTGTTGTTCAAGCTTGTTTGTGCTTTACTGGTTTACTGCTGTGTGTAAATACCAGAAGAAACACAGCAAATAAATCACCCTAAACTGGATATCTGTCTCCGGGTTTTTTAATGGGAAGACAGAAATGGCCTGACAACTTCATACCTTGATGCTCTAAAGCAGTTAATGTCCTGAAGAACACCAAACCTCTCCTTTTTAGCTGCTACTGTCATTTTCACACTTATCAGGAAGTTGCAGTGGCTCCACTGTGAATCAACAAATACCTATTGTAATGACTGATATCTGCATACACATCTAGCTTGTTCACAGCAGGAACTGCAGTTTTCACACAAGCGGTGGGCGAGAAGCTGGGTTTGTGAGTGAGAGTGACAGAGAGAGAAGGGGCCACATGAAGTCACAGACTGGGAGAACAAATAGACATTGCCCAATCAGATTTATTCAAATTTTATATTGTAGGAACAAGTAACTAAGATGGTTAAGGGAAATGTAATGAAGTAAAAGTACACGTTATTGGGGAAATGTAGTGGAGTAAAGTGAATGTCGCTAGAAATGTAAATAACAAAGTAAAGTAAAGATATGTCGAAATTCTACTTAAGTACAGTAACAAAGTATTTCTACTTTGCCATTACAACATTGGTATTCACTGCCCACTGCAAGTCACAACTGAATATCTAAAAAAGTTAAGTCTGGTCCTCTGGACAGGTTCAAAAAACCAAAAAACTCTAAAAACATTTCATCTTTTTTTCTGAAAGAATTCTTCTGTCTGAGGAGCTATGTCACAACTGAATAATTTTAATTTAATCAAAAATCCCCTTTTAAATCGATCATGTTATATTACATACTAGCATACTAAATGAAAAATGTTATTTTGGCGTAGCTACAACCGGAGAGCACAGATATTATTATAATAAAATAAAGGATGTAAGAACTAGAAAGCAATTACTTGCAATATAATATCTTATAGATTTACTTAAAATTTAGTCTTTTGTCGTAGCACATTAATTTATCTCTTACATAAATAGTATTGTTTGTAGAGAAAAGCATGAAAAATAAATAAAATAAATATTGCGTTTTTAAAAGTAAATATATTTCCAAACGTATGTTCCTACTCCTGCAATGTGATATGTTAAAACTGGAATAGTTTTGCTACATAAAAGACATTCAGAAAGGCTTGACAAGTGTTTATTGAACGAAAATAAAAGAAAGTATGTCCTTGTGTCTTACTTTAGCATCACAGAAGTTGCAAGAATTGCAATGTTGTGGTCAACCTTAAAGGTCATTGACCCAGAGTATAACAGACTATATAAGCATTCAAGTCTGATTTATTAATACCATCCTAAAGAATGTTTGCTTGAAATTACAGTAAAAATAGAACAAATGGACGGACTTGTTTCTGCACAAATTTAGTCGTCAGGCGCCTCACAGTGGGCACACAAGCGCAGCATTTCAACAAGGACGCATGCGTCATTACATTCACGTGATTGGCCCTTCCAATACCCCGGAAGTATTCTGAAGGTCTTGCGTTATGAGTTTAGATAGTACTTCACTACTGCAGGGAAGTATTTGAAATCAATATGGGAGTTAAAATAGAGATATTCAGAGTGAGTGTGGCATATAATAAAATCTTGTCAATCGATTTTGATATGTATTAGTTTAAGGTTTAAAGTTTTTTTCTTATTTTCCTCAATTCTTGATCTAGCGAATCATCGTTAGTAGTTTTACTGCACTACAGGTACGCAGATATTTACTGTCATTACTAGTTGGTTTGATGTTTTTTGTTGTTGTGCAGATGGTGCTGTATCTGTCTTTTCCTGTGGCAATGTTTTGGATCGCAAACCAGGCGGAGTTCTTTGAGGACTATGTAGTAAAGACGAAGGTCAGTACTTTATACAAGTTTTAGTTCACTGATGTTTTTTATTATATATATATATTTATTGCGATAATAAATGCCGCTGTCGACATTTGTGATATACAGAGAGAAGTCTTCCCCCCTTATGAAGAAGCACGGGTAAGTGAGTTGCGCAGAAATAATGTTTTTTTTATTTTATATATATATATATATATATATATATATATATATGTATGTATGTATACATATATATATATATATATATGTATATGTATATATATATATGTATATGTATAGCAGTTTCTAAAATAATACTTTGTTTTTCTATTTGTTTTTGTTTAAGTTAATTTCTGCCACATTATGAGTCTTGCTAGTCTTAATAATGTCTCAGCTATTTCATAATTATGACTATGATATAATAATTGGTCACGATTGACAAGTAATTGTTATGACTTACAGGATTTTTGTTCATTTCTAAAGAAACAAATCAAAATTGAAATACTGGGTTGTTTTTCTTTTTTTTGGGGGGGTGGGGGTGGGGGGACTAATTTGCAAATGGTTGATATTATTACTTCTGATTCTGAAGTGAACATTTGTTTTATTTTAAATTCTTCCTTTTAGGATTTAGCCTACTTTGTTTGTTTGATTGATAAAAATATTGTTTTAAAAGCTTGTTTATTTATTTGGATTATTTTCAATAGTAATATTGTTGCATTTTAAATTTTTCAGAGAAAAGAGTGGGAAGCATTCAAAGAGCAAATGCGTAAGCGACAAGAGGAGAAAATGTTAAAGAAATTTTCTGCCAGAGCAGACAACTGAGGAATACTTGAAAAAAAGCATGTTGTCTGGCCACTTGGCTGTAATTCTTGGGAACAAGACAACATTTTTCAACTTGGACTAAGGGCACTTTGCATTTAAAATATCTACAAAGTAACACCGCCCGAAGATGTGCTAGGAGTTTCTAAGAATCAATCATGCTCAGGATGCCTCATGCTGTTTCATTTATTCACGAGATAGTTTCATACAAGGTTTGTCAGATGTTGTATTTTGTTTTTGATTAAATGTGATTATCACAGCACAATTATTTACTTTATTTTTTCTTTTTCAGTTGTGTTTAATATCACTGTGTTTTATTTTGTATGATGTGTATAAAATGTGCAGAAACCGGAATGTTTTGTTTTTTTGTTGTTTTACAAAAAGACTCCAAGCAAGTGTTTGACATAATCAAATATCACAACAATGCACATAAGATTATGTGTTTAACAAGTTGAAATAAATCAATTCTATTTTATTTTCAAGTAATAGCTTACTCGCATGTAACCGCAACACTGGGCTTGATTTATTAATGTTGTGCTGCATTCAGGGCAGCACAGTGGCACAAATGGTAGAGCTGCTGCCTCTCAGCAAGCAGGTCTCTGGTTCAAATCCTGGTCCGGGGGACTTTCTGGGTGGAGTTTGCATGTTCTTTCCGTGCATGCGTGGGTTTTCTCCAGGTACTCCGGTTTCCTCCCACAGACCAAAAACATGCATGCTAGGCTGATTGGTAACTATAAATTGTCCCTAGGTGTGAGTGAGAGAGTGAATGGTTGTTTGTCTCATTTGTCTATGTGGCCCTGTGACGTGCGACCCGTCCAGGGTGTACCCCGCCCCTCGCACAGTGATTGCTGGACATGGGCATCGGCGACTCCCGTGACCCAAAATGGAATAAGTGGGTAAAAGATAATGGATGGATGGATGTTGCATTCACTTCAGTTTGTAACTACACAGTATTTCTTTGTCCTTTCTGTTGATGATCAAACTCAGGATACTGTTATCATCAAAAGACCCAATGATAGCATCTTCCTGTTGAAATCTGAGTTCTTGTATACCCTAAAGTGCATCCCACAGAATATTTGCTTATTTTTCATTCTTAAATATTTACAAATTATTTAACACTGATTGTAGACAAGCAAAGACAAATAACACCAGGACAGCACATAAGAGAGAATAAAGTGTAGTAAATAAAAAGACCCTCGCATGGCAGACTACAGTACATCTTCGGGGCCAAATCAAAAAACAGAAAAAGGTAACTTACAGTATGGTAAGAGTATCTGATCTATTTTCTTCTGCTTACAGTCAGAATAACTTGTTTAGGCACGAATAGATTCAATGTTTTGGTTATGTCTACTCATCCATCCATGATCTTTTTTTCCATTCATTCAACCTTTATTATACAGGTTAGTCTCATTGAGTTACGAAAACTCGTTACAAGAGAGACCTGTTTTAAACAGAGCACAGATGAGGTACAGACAACAATAGACAATCATAAAAAGCATATACAATGAAAAGTAAAATAAATTATATAAAAATGAAACAAAAGCAAGTTACATTACAAAGTGATGTAAAATACCAAAAACAGGAACATGTCTGCATTGGTTTTTGCAATAAACTTAACTTATTTAAAATCCCTTAGATTGGTCAAGGTCGACAACTTCAGATCTTTTTGCAAGGTGCTCCAGGATACAGGAGCAGAGTAAGAGAAGGCCATTTTACCTAGTTCAGTCCACACTGACGATACACTGCAATGTTCTGAGAGTGCAAACTATCTGCACGGACAACGTGACATGTAGGAGGAGATATATGAAGGCAACAGACCAAGAAGTGATTTAAAGATGAAAATGTATCAGTGAGAGTCTGCATGAAGTTAATGATGACCAAATGACCATTGAATACAAGGTGCAGTGATGGGTACGGTAGTTACAGCCAATTATAGCGTCCAACATCTGCAAGGTGCTTGCAGGAGCGTTCATGTAAATAATGTCACTGTAGTCAATGGACGAAAGGAAAGTAACAGTTACAAGGTGTTTCCTAGCAATCAGAGTTAGACAGGATAAATAGACCTAGTTTTACTTCCAATTTCTTTACCAAATTTTCAACATGAAGCTTAAAAGGCAGATGTGATATTTACCCGTTTCTTCCTTTTCGGGTCACAGGGTCACTGGTACCCATGGCCAGCTTTCACTGTGCGAGAGGCGGGATACACCCTGGACAGGTTGCAAGTCCATCACAGGGCCACAATAATTAACTCACACCAATAGGGACAATTTAGAGTTACCAATCAGCCTAACATGCATGTTTTTGGTCTGTGGGAGGAAACCAGAGTTCCCAGAGAAAATCCACGTATGCACAGAGAGAACATGCAAACTCAATCCAGAAAGGTCCTGGGCCAGGATTTGAACCTGCGACTTTTTTGCTGGCTGAGCAGCAACAGCACCAACTGTGCCACTGTGCTGCCAGAATTTATTTAACACTTGTTTGATGGCAAATCTACCATATATATATATATATATATATATATATACATGAGTAGTTCTGTAAATCATTTCAGGTTTAATATACTTATCTCAGATCAATATCTTATGAGCCACTTCCTCACTGCATAGAAACATCTTAATTATAAAGATATTCAAGAGGGACTTCCCTTCTTCATGCTCCTACAACAATCAGCTGCTGATTATTTTATTATAATTATGTGTTGACATGTGTTTCCTGAGATATTAGATTATATGTACTCTTAAATATTTGGCAATGGGAAGTGGCCAGCTGGATGCATTTTCCCTGAGGTGTGTGTTTCTTTACAACAGTTTATTTTTAATCACTGCCATTCATTTTAAATGCTAGATTACAAATTCATTTTATACTATGGAAATCTGATCTTTGTTCATGAGTGTAGTCATCGTAAATATTTTGTGCGTGTTTTATTTTTTGGTACATGGGAAAAAAAAAATGGGTGTTTTGGCACAAAATCACGATTCTTCCTATATTACTAATGGACGTTAGGGGGCGCTAAAGTACCGTCAAAAACTGTTGTTGAACCATAAGGAAGTGACAGTCTGACTTTCCAGTAGACTCCAGTCAAGATGGCACCGAGTGGGCTGAAAGCAGTTGTCGGAGATAGTAAGTGATACTTTGATTGTGACTAAGGAAGTTTCAGAAGTTTGTCAGCGTTGACTTATCAACACAGCTTGTTGGTTTTTATATTGTAACTGTTTTTAAAATTGACGTTTCGACTCTAAACCGTATTTAAATCGTTGATGAGTTTCTTCCTGTTTCACGCTCAATGCCAACTAAGTCAAGAAAATCAAGGGTGTCGCTTAACAAGACGTAGATGAGAAGTCTTACAGTTTCATTGCACAGTATTTTCTGGAAGGGTATTTACGTTAGTTTTGTGATGTTTTCACATAGAAAATGCCGCGACGGTGAATAGGTGTATGCGACAGCTAACGTTGTGGGCTAACGAGCTAGCTAATGTAAAGGAAGTTTAGCAGCTTTATTTGACGTATAGACCTCAGCTGAGATAGAAAAGGGTGTAACAAATTAATTGGTCTCATAGCAACTTTTACTTTGATTCGATTTTTGTTATTTAATAAGTTTGATTTAGTTAGTCTGCGCTTCGGTGATTCTTTGGTGAAGTTTCAATAGTCATTAGAAGAGCTATTGTTATTAAAGGCAGCTTTTTGCCTGTGTATGTGTGTGTGTTCTAAAAGTAAAATATATCACAAACCAGTGGATGGATTTTTATGATTCACATCTACATCTCATTAACCTTTAGTTTTTTGTTGTTGTTGTTGTTGTTGTTGTTGTTGTTGTTGTTGTTGTTGTTGTTGTTGTTGTTGTTGT